AAGACTGCTGCTATAAAGGATCAGTTGCTTAAAGATTTCCTTCCTGATGATGTTTGTCCTTTGGGAGCTCAGCTAGTCTCAGAAACATCAGGACAGATCTACCAATTCGGGTCAGAAGATGATAAAAGTCTGGACGAGGTAGTTGGAGCCACTGCTTCTAAGTCTTTATTTTTTTTTCTCCAATACTCACCATTATCTTATATCCTTGTTTTCTACTAGCAGGTTGGGGACCAGACGCAGCCCATCTTAGAGGACGGTGTACCAACAGAGAATAAGAATATAACTAACTCACACCTTTCTCTGCAAATTCCAGACCTCTTAACTGTCACTCAGTTCCTCGATTCGGTAAGTTTCTGCTTGCATGCCTTCCATTCGTGTCATGCACACAGTAGCCAGGGAATTGCGCAAGGAAGAGTTTGGCTGTCATAATTCTTGCTAGGAACTTCTGAAAGATCTCCTGACAGTTCTTTTGTAGACTCTCCTTTTTTTTCTTTTTACTCATTCTCAAGAAGGTGGTACAGGGGAAGTGAAGGTTCGCTGAAATAAGCTACGAAGCCACTAAAAAAGAGTTTTTTTTTTCTGGTGTTTCTGTGGAAGAAAAAAAGGTCTGAAACTTTAGGCTTCATGACCTCTTGAATGAGGAATATTATTCGTTGGGTTGGAGGGGTGAAAGACAAGGTATGTGAAGAATCTGAACATTCAACCTAAAACCTTAAGGCAATGGGTGGAATGAACAAGATATTATAAACCCCTATGGAAATCTCTATACAGTCATGAGGGACAGGTGTATTCTCTAACACTCTAATACCATGTTAAGAAAATGAACTTTGGGTCTAACTCAACATTTTTTGTTGATAAAGTAATAAGATTTCAATAATGAAGGGCGTAAATGCCCATATACAAGAAGTATACAAAAAAAGCAGAGAGGCCTCACAAAAAACTGGGTCTACTCAACCTTAAAAGCTAGTTCATGCAGTGAAATTTATAAAATCTAATAGAAGCAAATTAATGTAATTGATCCTTCTTGGAAGTAAACAAGTGGTAAGAGAGAAATAGGCATAACATGTGGAGAGATTATTGCATGTTTGATCTGAACTTAAGGTAAAACTGAGAGTGTTGATATTTACTGAATCAAATGATGAGGTCTTCTAAAGAAGAAATTGAGAAATTTTGAATTTTGATACGGAAGGGATACAGGATTTCATTGCTTTCGTCCAATGCCAAACCATCTGGTGGACTGGTGATATTAATAGAATGGCAAAGGACAGCTGGTAATGGAAAAGGTTTTTTTGCCATTTCTTTCCCACATATAATTTTGAATTACATCAATGGTTTTAAGTGAAGGTGACCGGAATAATAATTATTTCATAGGGGTTTTTGGGTGCCCCTATAAATAATTGAGGGGTTTCATCTGAAATAGGGGTGGTTGCTCAGCAGAGGTTTGTGGGAAAAGCCCTTTGGCTATGGTTGTTATTTGTTTTTCGATTGGGTATATGGTTGTAATGCTGACCACTGCGATAATATCATGTATGGCAAGTCTCTTCCCCTAGACATAGTTAACTTTTCTAAATCATTTACCTAAAAACTTATGCAGGTATCAGATACAACACTGCAAGTAGGAAGACTCTCTGTCTCAACTTCTGATATGACATACAAGGACATGGCAGGCCATTGTGAGGCCCTTCAAGCAGGGAAGCAGGAAAAGATGTCACATTTAATGATTGCCCAAGCGTCTCGAGAAAATCCTTTTGACTTTTATGGACAGGACTATATCCAGGCAAATATGAAGCCATCTTACAACTGCGTTGATACAAAATCTACTCCAGTAAGTATAAACGAAATGCGTTCATCTTATAGTTTTGGCATTTTCAGTTTTGAGCATTATTCTCATAGCATGAGACTGGGAAGAGATGTAGTTTTAAACCCTGCATATTATGGAGAGTGTTGCTTGCATACTACTTTGCTGTTAGAGGGAGGGAATAGCGTTTACCCATTTTTACTTTCAACAAGGCAGCCCGGTGCACTAAGCTCCCGCTATACGCGGGATCCGGGGAAGGGCCGGACCACATGGGCCTATTGTACGCAACCCTGCATTTTTGCAAGAGGCTGTTTCCACGGCTTGAAACGTGACCTCCTGGTCACATGACAGCAACTTTACCGGTCTTTACCGGTCACGCCAAGGTTCTCCTTCATCCCGTTACGCCAAGGCTCCCCTTCATCCATTTTTCTTTTCAACAAGATTCCATTTTGCTCCGTTATAAAAAGGAACCGATAGGTTGGTAGGCTTCAAAGTGGCATCGAAGAAGCAGCTTCACATGCTGTAATAACATTTTATTAAAGTGGTGGAATCATGATATAATAGATGTTGTTTTAAAGGGGAAAAGGAAAAAGGAAAAAGAATAGAAGCTCACCATTAAGTATGGTCCCCAGTTTGCTTCCATAAATTGCAATCTAAGGACAATGGAAGCTCAAACTACTCCCCTCTCCCAACACAATCAAGTGCATTTACATACTATGCACAATTGAGCAAGAAGGAAACTTGGGATAATCACATCAAAATTGAGGTGGCATCGATACTTTTAGAAAGGAGAGAGTTTTGTCCTATCACAACCATGTAACATGCTAGAGCTACACCATCTTATATTAGATAATCATTAGTGCTGTCTAATTTCATTGGAAGATAATTTAAAAGAGCATTGAAAATGCTGGTGGCGAACAAGGGTATGTGTGAAACGGGTGCCCAATTTCTCTGGCGCTAGAGAGATCAGTCAATGTGATTCGTTACAAATACGATTTCATGTTTCCTTGTAAGTGTGCGCTGCAGTATTCATACTGGAGATCACATTTCTTGTCTAGTAGCTTCTCTACAAGCATGCATAATATAGTGGCTTTACATGCTACAAATATATTTGTGTGAATGCCTTAATTTCTGTCCTATAGTTTCAACTCTGAAGTTCATGTATGTTGCAGGTCGAACTTACACATGTCAAACATGGCTCTGACTCCAATTTGTCGAATCCCTTTATCAATGTCACTCCAACGCCATGTGCAACTGAATCCCAGCGTCATCCCAACTTCTTTGCACTACCTGCCTCAAGTCCATATGACAACTTTTTGAAGGCAGCTGGAAGTTAATGTCATCAGTTCAAGAGTTTGAGAGGTAGCAAAAGCTTGAAGAATCTCACTTTTGTCTAAATTTTGCATCACTCTACTGCTAATATAGTTTTATGATTGCAAACAATTTTGGGGTCTGCTCATTGGAGCATATTCTGATTTCTTTCTTCTTGTATCGTTCTTCCTATCCATTTGATCCGAGAAAGTTACTAAGATTCATGGAAATGAGGGAATTTTGTATAGAATATTTTCAAAAGAACGTAAGATTGTATAAATATAGGGCGACGAAACTTCTATATGTTGAGCTTAGGTTGGCAAATATCAATTCTATGTTATGTATATATGGTTTTTATAAGTTATAACTACAATTCATCAATGAAGGCATTATTTTCTTTCCTGTTTTACTTTTTTCTCTACTTCAGTTTTATAGCAAAATGTGCATAATGATTAGTCTGGTTTCATGAGCTTCTCACTTTTTCTTCCACCTTTTCTCGAGGGTGAACACAGGACATAGTGAACTTGTGGTGATCTTTTTTCTCTTTTATACCTATGTATGTATATATGGTATCCATATACACGTATGAACACACGTGGATACATACATATATGAAAAACACGAAGCTCAAAGTTACATATTGATAGAGACACATATAACGATGTAATGTTGAGAACTTTTATAGCCTTTAGGAATTAAATTCTTCCATCAACATTAATGTTCAAAAACCTAAAAGCGTTTGATAATAAATATGATTAGTAGGATAGTCCGGTGCACAACGTATCTCGTGTCCACACAGGGTTCGAGGGGGAATGGTCGCATCTCAAGGGGTATGATGTAGACAACTTATCGTAATGCAAACACTAATGACTGCTTCTACAGACCGAACTCGTGATCTATAGGTCCCGCGAAGACAACTTTAGCATTGCTCCAAAGTCCACCTTCCTAAATATCGATTACTATGATATAGAAAATGTAAATAACTATTTGTGTATATCTAATAAGCAACCTGCAATTTGGCTTAAAACTTTGTTGAAAGAACTTAATCAACCTCAAATTTGAAAGAAGATGCAACAAAGTGTTGATAACAAATTTGTTATTGCAATGTCCACATAGTGCATACATCTTAATGTTGTAGTGCATGAACTAAAATATATTAAATGTATTGGTTTAAAAGATCCACATAGCAATATTTAGTTTTGTCCATGTACTCGAATAAAGGAGAAGTCTAAAGTTAAATGAAGATCCATGTACATAAAATTTAAATATATGATGTTATATGACTCATAAATATTAGTGTTGCATAGATATTTTATCTCAACAATCATCATTTCCTCCTATTCTTTCCTAGTAAGTTTGAGTATTTTAACAGCCTGCTCGACTTGACCAATTGAAAGACTAGATGATTTCTCTTAATAAAAATAGTTTTGTGCTTAAAACATTTTTTTTTTTTTGTTAAAATAATTAAAATATCCTTAGAACTTCTTAGAAAAATATAAATTAATAAGTATCAAGGAGGAATGACATAAATGAAATGGATTAATGGAGAAAGAGTTGAGGATTTGTTCAAGATATTTATGGGAAATTGATCAAACCAAATACGTATCAGCTGAAAAATCTTATGTTAAAACTGACCAATTTAGAAGTTTTGGATGAGTTTGCTTTATTAGCACTTCTGATGTTTACAAAATAAAACAAGTAAGCTGAAAATACTTATAAGTAGTAGTAATTGATTTGACCAACGTGTTTTATAGCTATTCCAATTATTATTATTACTATTATTATTCCTAAAAAAAAAAAAAGCAAAGAAAAGAAATGCAACAGGGAATAATAATTAAAATAAGTCACCGTTGTGTGAAACGGCGGTAGACACCGTAGCAAGAGGCCAAGCAAACCACCGACTTCACAGGCGATGCCACGTGTATTTCCACCGCCATCTCCTCCTATACATCACTTAGAATTAATGGACACCTGTTCACTCTTCCCGCCACTTAGTGGCTTTTTCTTTCACTGGTGTAAAAATCTGCTGTCATAAGCAATTCAAGCAAAAGAACAAACTTACCTTGTTGCATCTTCATTAGTATCTTACAATGGAAGGTTCTGATTTTGTTAGAATTAAGGTAAGAATTGTTAAAACACACTTCAATATTATGTTAGGTTTTTTAAGGATTTTTCCTGTTAGAAGAACTGCAGCTTCAATGAAGGCGACCCCCCATTTTCCTGCTTCACTTCTATTCGCCTTTAACCAGGCTTGTTATCTCGTATACTATTATTAATTTTCATGTTATTTACTGGATTTTATGTTATGATTGTGATATAATTTGGTGGTTGCTTTTAATTTGAGTCATTCTTGTTAGTAATACATGATTGCTATTTTCGTGGAGGCTTGATAAACTGTTGTAGGGATTTTCATGCAAACTTAATTATTGATTCGCTTCTGGTAGTATGGTATTGTTCTCAGTTTGTTTCTTTTACTTTGTTGAGGATTCATCTCTTACTTGCAGAGGGGTAAATCAGGTGATCAAGATATCATTAAGATAAAGGTATGCCACCTTCCTTTTTGTTTGCGGTCCAATATTGGGTAATAAAATCATCGAGCGTGGTGCTTATTGATGGAACTATTGCAAAGTAAGATCAAATCCTGCATCATTTGCTCAATTGTTTAATGTTGTTTGCTTTTCTTTGCAGAGGACATCGACTCCAGATGATGTGGCATCTGTTCTTTTGAAGGTTAGAAAATTGCTGTTCCTTTCTGGATGTCACTCTAGTTGTTTCAGTTGTTTGTTTGGTGTAGGGTGTATCTCTCTTTGGTATTTGTCTCCTATTTGTTGGGTGGTCTGCTGCGTTCGCTAATATACACTGGCCTGCAGCAAGGTATCTTATATACAGGATTGGGTATATGTAGCAAGTAGTCATTGATCAGACTGTATAACTTTAAGATGGTATCTAAGTTACAAAACAAGTTCTCGGATTCCAATGGCCTCAGTTACACTGGTTTCAGATATCGCTTGCTTTTGGTTGTTTAGGTTATCAACCACTTTCCTTGGATTTCCTGATGAAGATACTAGGAATCAGTGCAGCAACTGGGTGACTGGACATGTGCTTTCTTGCGCGATGTTAGTAACTTGATTTCTAATTTTGTTGTCTGTTTCAGGAGAGAGAAAGGCAAGGAGTATATGGAGCAGGCAGAGATGTTAACAGCACCGCGGAACGAGAGGAGGATGATGCAGAAAATGAAGACTATAATGGTGATTATATTGGAGCCAAAGATGAGGATAATAGCGAAGTTGTTAATGACCCTGAAGAAGACGGTGGGGATGTAGAAGTCAGCAATGAAGATCAGAAGCAGCAGAGGCGTGTCAGCTGCGGATTTTATTTAGTTGAAGGCAAGATGAAACATGGGATGGAAGATTATCTGGTGGTAGAAAATAGGAAAATGGATGGACATAATCTGGGGCTCTACGCAATATTTGACGGTCATTCAGGACGTGAGGTTGCAGAATATTTGCAAAGCCATCTTTTCGATAATATACTGAGTGAGGTATCACCGAGTTTGTTTCTAAATTAAGATCTGGTTACAGAGCGTCTTTTTTCCTTAAAACTAAAATAAGGGATGTTTTAGAACACTAGGAGTATTTCGTTCCGACTTAAAAGACATAAGAAACTTCCGAAATGTTGAATTGGTCAATGTGGAAACTAGTTAAGCAAGCATTATCAATACATATTAGATGTCTAGATTAATGCCACAAAATGGTGAGATAGGATGGTTAATCGAAGTTTTATATGCCTCAATATTGGAAGTTTTTGTTCTGAACAGCCTGATTTTTGGAAGAACCCTGTAACTGCATTTAAGAAGGCCTATAGAGATACAGATAGCGACATTTTGGAGAATGTGGTTGGTGCACGAGGTGGCTCAACAGCTGTGACAGCCATATTAATCGACCAGAAACTATTGGTAATGGCCAATGTAGGGGATTCACGTGCAATACTAATTCAGAGAGGAAAGGTCAAGCAAATAACAGTTGATCATGAACCGGAAAAGAAGGAAGAAAGAGACCTAGTTGAGAGCAAAGGAGGTTTTGTTATTAAGAGGCCAGGTATGATTCCACTTATTTCCAGCAGATCTTTTGATTTCTGCATTGAATTTTGCATGTGATTTTTATACTGTCATAGATGCTAAGGGAAACACCATTTTTACTTTTTAAATGTTTATATAAACTGAGGAGGAAATGGAGTACAGTTCTGCATTTTCTAGAATAAGGTTAAAGAATATGCTAGAAGATATAGGCCAGAGATATTGTCGAAGAACAAAGAATTTTTTTAATGATGATCACAGGTAGGAATCGATCTTTCAGACAGGACAAAGTGCACTTCATCTCATTCAGTGATACGCGTTTTCTTTTCCCTGTAATATGCCATTTGGTCCTTGCATCAGGGTGCTTACTCGAGCACCTGCTTATTTGTCTTCAGCTCGTGTAGAAGAACTTATGTGTGAGATAATTTTCTTTTGCCTAAATCCGGTTGTAGACTAACCATCTATCCCCTTAATGTTGTCTGAAATGCAGGGAATGTTCCGCGGGTGGATGGCCAACTAGCCATGACAAGGGCATTTGGAGATGCAAAAGTGAAAGACCATATCACAGTGGAACCTAATGTGACAATTGAGAAGATAGACAAAGACACTGATTCCATAATTTTGGCCAGTGATGGCTTGTGGAAGGTAATTTACAGTGCAACTAGTAAGTATTATGGTTAGCATTTTAACATGACGAACCTGGGAAAAAACATGATGATACAGATTCTGAGTTGGGACGCTGACATGATATATATGCTGCTGGTCTCAACATAGGAGAGGCCTCTCTCCTTCTCTCCTAAGCTGAGAAATAAAGATCGGATCATAAACTGTGACCGGCCGTTCAGATGGATTTATTGTACATATATGCAGGTAATGTCAAATGAAGAAGTAGCAGAATGCATTAGAGGGATTGAGCACTGCAATAAAGCAGCAGAAGAATTGATCACTGAATCACTTATGAGGGGGAGTCCCGATGATATTTCTTGCGTCGTAGTGATGTTTCACTGACCTTGTACTGGAGGTTAATTAGCAGCCGGACCAAAATGCGTATGGACAGAGAGAGGAGTTTGGATAGTTGTCAGTCTCATACCTTTTGAAAGATTTGATAATTTTCCCNTGTGTGTAGTGTGTAGTATATATATATATATATATATATATATATATATATGTATTGAAAGCACTGTAGGTTCCAACAAAAAGGATCACAACAATAAAAGAAATTAAACAGTTAAAACACTTGAATTGATAACAACAAATAAACACAGCAACAGAAAGTGCACGGCATCACCCTTCGTGCTTTTACTCTCGTTCTTACCATAAGAATCAATATTCACTTTTATTCTTCCTTGTTGCGGCGTGCAACCCGATCCTAATCATATAGTACTGTTGCGGCGTGCAACCCGATCCAAATCATATAATACTGTTGCGGCGTGCAACCCGATCCAAATCATATAATATTGTTGCGGTGTACACCTGATCCCATATAATATTGTTGCGGCGTGCAACCCGATCCAAATCATATAATATTGTTGCTGCGTGCAACCCGATCCCATATAATATTGTTGCGGCGTGCAACCCGATCCAAATCATATATTATTGTTGCGGCGTGCAACCCGATCCCATATATACAAGTCAACACCAATCACAAAGAATCCCGGCAAGGGAATAATAAGGAAACAACAATATTCCGGCAAGGGAGTCAACAACAAGAATAAAGACATCCCAGCAAGGGAACCAACAGTAAAAATGAAATATGTCCCGGCAAGGGAATCGGCTATAACCAAACTTGTACCAACAATTACTTCACAATGAAACCTCAACTAAACAACAATGCATAATAAGCAAGTGATAACTACACCGGTAACCACAATAATTGGACATGTAATCTATTTGCACGAAGTCATAGAGGAACTCACAATCAAGAAGTATCAAAGTAGTAAGGAAGGCAATCACTTCAATTAAGGCAATTAAGGGTCAAAGCAACATGTAAGAATTAGAGAAAAGCTAACAACATCATGTGGAGCATATAGAGACAATTTAAGCAATTATTACATTCAATCATAACGGAATACTTTCCACATATTGAACGTAAGGACCTAAGAACCCTAAAGCATATTTTCCACAGATAAGTCCGAGCACACACTCGTCACCTCGCATGCACGGACTACAATTAGCATAGAAGACTCAAATCCTAAGGGGAAGTCCCTCACACAAGGTTAGGCAAGATACTTACCTCGAAGATGACAAACCGATACTCTAAAATGCACTTCTCGGGTGAAAAGACCTCCGGACGGCTCATATCTAACCAAAAACGATTTCACAATTTTGGATGTGGCAATTTTCTTTTGCCTAAATCCGGTTGTAGACTAACCATCTATCCCCTTAATGTTGTCTGAAATGCAGGGAATGTTCCGCGGGTGGATGGCCAACTAGCCATGACAAGGGCATTTGGAGATGCAAAAGTGAAAGACCATATCACAGTGGAACCTAATGTGACAATTGAGAAGATAGACAAAGACACTGATTCCATAATTTTGGCCAGTGATGGCTTGTGGAAGGTAATTTACAGTGCAACTAGTAAGTATTATGGTTAGCATTTTAACATGACGAACCTGGGAAAAAACATGATGATACAGATTCTGAGTTGGGACGCTAACATGATATATATGCTGCTGGTCTCAACATAGGAGAGGCCTCTCTCCTTCTCTCCTAAGCTGAGAAATAACTATGTCATAAACTGTGACCGGCCGTTCAGATGGATTTATTGTACATATATGCAGGTAATGTCAAATGAAGAAGTAGCAGAATGCATTAGAGGGATTGAGCACTGCAATAAAGCAGCAGAAGAATTGATCACTGAATCACTTATGAGGGGGAGTCCCGATGATATTTCTTGCGTCGTAGTGATGTTTCACTGACCTTGTACTGGAGGTTAATTAGCAGCAGGACCAAAATGCGTATGGACAGAGAGAGGAGTTTGAATAGTTGTCAGTCTCATATATGTAACTACGTCCTTCTTCATGTGCCATGTTATGCAGAAATCTTACGGTTATCAGTTCTGAAGAAATAATTTTTCAGACAGACAAATTTGTCTCAACAGTAACTGAAACAAGAGCATACTGTCCATCTAAAGCCTGCATTACTGCATTACGGGATCTTTACCCGTAAACGCCACAGTTGAACCTATATGTGGTTTTTATGACAAGTGAACTAATTAGATCGTGAAATAATAAAATAATTGAAGAATTATGCGATACTTAGCCTTAAAATCTAGATGAAACGGTAGAAGCAATAGTTTCGGCAACAAGGTTTTCGGGCATACAATAATGAAATTAGAAAGCAAGAAAGTAAGATTATATATTAAGCTTTGTATAGAATGTAGTGTAAGTTTATCAGAAAATTCGTTCTCCTTACAATAACAGTTGAGCTCATTATTTATAACTACGTATAGGGAAGGAGGTTTTAGGACAATGCCCCTTTTTAATGTCAATTATGAGGGTTATCAATGAAGATGTAACGACGAGCATAAATATCAAATTTCTTGTAACGTGTATTGTATTTAATACCGTGGAATATTCCTTATTAAATGCTATCGAGAGAGGAGTATTTATTACATCCTTATGAGTGTTATTTTCTCCGGTAACAGAAGGAACAGTTGCCTTCGGTCTTGGACATTCCTCCGTTTTAGGTTTCACGTGTCCTTTTTTTGGATGCCTACGTGACATAGCATATTTTATCCTATGCAAATAGTCCCCCTACTTTCCGGTGACATAACTTTGTGTTACGGGGAAGTTGGTAAAAATATTCTTTTGACGGGAATTACTATAACTTCCTCTGAAGGCTTTTGGCGGTTGATTAGACGCACGTCTCTTCGTATTTAATGTCCCGTACACGCGTCATTCCACGATTTAGCATAGTTTTTGCCGATTATCGAGGTAATCATGGCCATAAATTTAGCCGCCAAAACTTTTGCGTATACGCATCAACTTTCTCTCTTATACACCATAATTTTCCAAGCTTCCCTTATCTGAGTTGCATTTCTGGGACAACTCCTTTTTGAGAGGGTGGGGAATTGAAATTGAAAGAGTCGCCACCTAACAGATTAAGGTGCGTTAGGGCACCTAGAGCAAATAACTCATGTTACCAGTTTACATCACCAGAGATCGGGTAAGGGCTCGAAATTACCTCGAAAGGAAGGTGTTAGGCACCCTTCAAGGTCCACACCGGTGGGTCCCGGCTGAACTTAACTTATGAATTAGTCTAATAAAGAAGCGAGAGGAGTATTTGATAGGGATTGGGGGGTCCTAAGTTTTTTAGCCTAAAGGATCACCCCGTGCAACATAAATAATACTTCGTAACTCCCTCGAGTCGGGGTGTTACTTATATTATTCAGCGGGCACAGACTATCATCTCCTGCTACCCTATCACTATCTTTAAGTTGTTACCTAAAGCGCTCTAATTGATTCCAGTTCGTACCTATATGTGCACTACCTGTCCCTTACCTATGGCCCTGGAGGTATTAAGACCTCTATTTGGGATAGTTTTAGACTAAGCCTAGGTTGCTCAAAATATAAAAAACTAGGCGACAAATAAAACATGTTTGGACTTGCAATGTAAAGCAAATATGGGCTCATGTTAACCTCCGCACATAAACAGCAAATGCACGCAATTAATTAGCAGGTTTTATTAATCTGCAGAATCCTATAGACAGGATATCTATGTGAGAAAATAGGCGAGCGGTGTTATATAGAAGCATCTTCGTTAAGGCGGGTATTAGGACCTATTATTTGCCTATTGAATATCGTCTGGGTACTTCAGACAGTAATGCATCATGCTTACCGAATCCAGAATTATTATTAAACATATTGTTTAATTGATTTACTAAGGCGATTGTACCCAAAGCCAATTGACAGAATACTATGGGCGTGATATCTAATGCCGAACTAATTTTAACTCTATAGGCTTGATTTCTAATTACTGTACTGACTTAAATCCTATAGGCATGATCTTTATGTTAGAAACGCTTTTAGTCCTATAGGCATAGTATCTATTACTGAATTGATTTAAATCCTATAGGCATGATTTCTAGATTCGAAATTGATTTTAGTTTTTAGTCCTACAGGCGTGATATCTATTGAGCAGTAATACGGGCAGAAATGGTGCATATTACCAGAAAGGAAAAACAGTTAGATCAACATTGAGGTCCTGTAGGCATGATTGCTAACATATGTTTGTTGGACAAGTTAATACAACCTATAGGCAGGATTTCTAATGCAATTTAATTTCTTATAGGCAGGATTTCTAATATGCAAGCATAGTATATCACTCACGCGATTTTAACAGAGATGAGGTAAAACGGGATTAACAGAGCAAATGAAACCCTATTGGCAGGATTTCTACCCGGATTGCCCAAAGAGAATAAAGATCCTTCCCAATTTTACTATATACCCCAGAATCTATTTGTTACAAACTTATTACAGGCCAGAGTAAATGAATAAATTACATAATAGTAGTAAGATAAACTATAGGGAGCCTTCATTAAGCCCAACTGAACCTGGGAACCAGGCCTTCACACCAATCAACTTTGAGGCTCATTTCATAAGTACAACATAGCCAAAACATGAGTGATTCAATCATAGCACATATAGAACCAGATTTCTAGTGTGACAAAGTTCCCAAGGGCCTCAGGGACCCAGGGCAATGCTCACACCAGAACCATGTATTCAGCAGATGATTCACAAGAGATGGGTAACCAGTTCCCAGTGTGTCAAAGTTCACAGGAGTGTCATGTGGACCCTGAGCAAAGCTCACACTGGGGTNATAATAGGAAAGGCTTGTCTCCAAGATGTGTTCTCAAGGTGGACCTAAGGAAAGTTTATGACTCATTGGATTGGCAGTTTGTTAGATACATGCTTACTGATCTTGGCTTCCCTCAAAAGTTCATTCTATGGATAATGGAATGTGTGACAACAATATCCTATATCTTGGTTCTGAATGGTGGACTTACCAAACCTTTTCCAGCTAAGAGAGGAATAAGACAAGGAGGTCCAATGTCTCCTTATCTCTTTATGATTGCTATGGAATACTTACAAAGGGAGATGAACAAACTGTCCTATCAAAAGGAGTTCAAATTCCATCCAAAGTGCAAAAAGCTGGGAGTGACACATATATGTTTTGCTGACGATTTGTTAATGTTTTGCAGGGGTGACATAAATTCAGTTATTAAATTACAGGAAGCCTTTAATAGATTTTCAGCTGCATCTGAGCTGCAGGCAAGTGCAGAAAAGAGCTCCATCTATATTGCTGGTGTGGCACAGCATATAAAGGAGCAATTGATAGAGCTTACTGGATATACAGAGGGTTCTATACCCTTTAAGTATCTGGGGGTACCATTGTCTGCAAGGAAACTGAATATCTACCAATGTCTACCTCTGGTGGAAAAGATTACTGAAAGAGTAAGATGTTGGTCAGCTAGGATGCTCTCATATTCTGGAAGAATTCAGCTCATCAAATCTGTGCTGTTTGGAATACAAACATACTGGGCTCAAATTTTTTTACTGCCAAAGAAGATCATGAAGATGATAGAGACCATATGTAGGACCTTTCTGTGGACTGGTTCAACTGACTGCTCAAGGAAAGCTTTGATTGCATGGGACAAGATATGTCAACCTAGAGCTACTGGAGGTTTGAATGTTATAAACATGAAGATATGGAACAAAGCAGCATTGTTGAAACATCTCTGGGCATTGGCAATGAAGAAAGATACACTGTGGATCAAATGGGCACACAATTATTATATAAAGAACAGAGATATTGCAGAAATGAACATACCCAAAACAGCAGCATGGATGGTCAGGAAGATCATTGAGGCAAGAGAATATGTGAAGCAGATGAGGCCGGGTCATAGCAGTATTATTTCTACACTGGAGAGCTTAGTGAAGCAAGGCAAGTTCCAAATACATAAAGCTTATGTTCAGATGCAGCCACAATTTCCAAAAGTTATTTGAAAAAACATTCATCTACATACACATATTTATCCTAGATTCAAATTTCATCTATGGTTGGCTATTCATCAAAGGATAGCAACTGTGGATAGACTCGTGAAGTTTGGAATTCAAGTTCCATTAGAATGCGTGTTCTGTGCAAACAATATGGAAACTTTTGATCATTTATACTTTGGCTGTCCAAAAACTAACAAACTATGGGACAGAGTATTGAAATGGCTAGGCATTGCAAGGCGGATAGGAAGCTGGCAGAATGAGCTGAACTGGATGAGCAGTTTGGCAAACAGGAAAAATTATAAAGCAGAAATGACTACAACAATCTTCGCGATGGTTGTCTACTGTATTTGGCGCGAAAGGAACTCAATTAGATTCAACAAAGGCAGATATAACATGGATGACCTATGCAAGGAAATTGCTATACATATGCACATACAAGGGAGGAAAAAGACCAAATGGCAAAAAGAATTGGAGAGTTTAAACAATTTTCCTTAGTATAGTTCATAGTTGATTGAAGTAGTGTAGTCACAGTGTTAAGCTTGTAAACAGTGAATAGGAGATTAATGGTCAGCATTAATCTGGATATGTAAAGACAGTTTTTTTGATAAAATAAAATGTTAGTTTTATTAAAAAAATTAAATAATGAATCATTATAAAATTATTTGTTATACAATTAATAATTATTTATATAAAAATACAGGAATAAATTGATTAAAAGCCTTTAAAAATTATGGAAAAATACTTGGTGATGCTCATGCACTATTTTGAAGGTATATATGTATATTTGAGAGATATGAGGGGAAAATTGGGTATCAACAGCAAACGTGGCCACCATGCTCTATTAACTAGCATGGATGATGACAACGACCGTGGATGGATTGAACGGTTTGTTGCAGTTGCCACAAACGGCATCATCCCGGCAACAACTTCATCCTTTTTGGTCGCTTGGAACCGCACTCGTAAGATCTTTATTTAATATTCCCTTTTACTAATATTCTTCTACAGTCATATTGATCCTTCATCCTTCGCTTGCTTCTGCAACTCGATGGATCCCACTGGTGTTGAATGTTTGGACCGGTGGGTTCAAAAAATTTTGGACGTTATGACGCCCGAAGCTCATTTGTGGAAAGAACTGGCCCCTAAATATGG